TGTGGAGGAAACGAGAAAATAAGTGTACAGGCGTCAAGAGGAGAATTTCCCGAGGAAAATGCGCACGAAAGCGTACACGCGAGCGAACTATTTGTCCCGCGTTTATTTATTAAAATAAAATTGTGGAAATGAAGATTTCAGGCGGTCGTTTATAGCAAATGATTCAATTTCAAGTATTAAAAATGTGTTTCAAAGTTGTAGTTTAACCGAAATTATTGAAAAATATTATAAAGTAATAAATCTGAGTAGGAAGTTTTTGAATCCTGATCATCGAGTTGTATTTTTAAATTGTATTTCCTTGCATCGCATTGCATTGTAGTCTTATTGCTGTAATGTACCTAACTACTATCTACCATAACAGCTATTTGTTGCTATTCTGCCAGCAATGCTGTACATTTCTACTTTTTCATCGTTTGCAGACAATAAAAATAAGAATTTATACGAAACTTTTGTAGCAGCACATGAGTCAGAGGACGATACGAATCGAGAGCGACTCATGTTGTTGTTTTGCCTCTGGACATCGATACTGCCTTGACGTACAAAACTCAATGATAAATCAACTCCCGGCAAAACAATATCACCGCTACGAGCAACCGTCAACCGAAGTTGGATTTAAACTTTCTGGTACTTCCCCAACCAGTGTAAATAAACGAACACGATCGTTAAGACAATCAGTTAGTATCGAGCATTCTTATAGTCAGTCTTTGGAGGAGTCAGTTATCTATCAGTTAAACAATAGTCACACACGAATCAGTTATCAGTCAATCTTTATCGAGTGTTCTTATAGCGAGTGAGTATCGAGCAATCTTAGAGCGATTATCATCGAGCGAACGTACTCATTACCGTCTATACGCATAACGAGCAACGCTTAGCGAACGACAACGAACTCTATACTACAAATAGTTTTAAATATATTTGACTACATCAAGTATCAACTCGTCTCGTGACTATATATACCAACTCGTATAATCGTACCATCCACACTTTATTTAATGCACGATTAAATAAGTTGCCGATTGAATTTAATTCACTCAAATTCTATCATTTGAAGGAAGAATCATAGGTGAAATTATTATACTATTATATGAATTATCTGCCGTCCTCTAGTAGCGATAAAAGAATGACGATCGATCTTGAGAGAACACGAGTTCGTGCTGAAAGTAGAATTTTGGTTGCGTTCGTTCCTTTGGATGAATCGTTAAATGTCACTAGACTGCGGGTAAATTCGGATGCGGTGGATTGTTGGAAATGGGCCATCTGCAATTATAGCGTTTTTTTTCGTCTTGTTATGCCTTCGTTTGAAATTTACGAGTACGACACAAGTTACTGGTTTTGTGTTTTACATAGAGAAAAGTGAATATTATGTAAATTTTCTGAAAATTTTGTAACTTATCAATTATTCTTCATTTCTCAATTCCAAAAAGAATTTCCTACCTGAAAAATTATAAAGTACTATTTATAAGAAAATTATAAAGTTATGCGTATTGAAAATATCTTCAAAGCCAGCAAAGTGGCTGTTAAATGTTTGCTACATTATTGATACGCATAAACAAAAGAATAGTCTAGAACGTGTGTGTCGGGTTCTAATAAAGAAAATGAAACTGCTTTAGATTGGATGGCGGAAAGGGGTGGAAAACGAGGAATTCGGGTAAATAAATCGAGTTGTCCGAACAACCGGATTAAATTTAATAATACAGATACGGCCAATCTCGGAGAGTAGTAGACGGCTGCTTTCTGTTCGTTAATGTTTAACTATGCTTGAAACGCACGCCGTGTCAGATGAGTAGGAAGAGCGCGTGGATTCGGCCTTTCGAGAGTTTCCTTCGATGTTGCGTGTACGAAAACGATTTATGTCGAATGAATAATTCAGTCGTACCAAGTTCTATAGCTTCCGAATTTCGTATCTGTCAATCGGTTACGTAGAAACGGTTCTTCGAATGTGTGAAGTCTTTTTACAATCTTTAATAAATTAAGTCGCATTTTTTAAATTCTCAAAAGTATTTTATTTCTTATTCTATGTCGTGACTTTTATAATTCTATGTTTGATGTTCCATTTATTATTCAACATGTAGTTAAAATTAATAACTCGTACCAATTTGAAGCTTTCCCAACAAACGCAATAAATCGGTCATTCAATTTTAGTAGACTATTTAATTGTTAATTATTCAAACGATTGATCGAATTTAAGAAGCATCGCTCTAAGCTAGAATCTGTGTCTCTACAGTCTACTTCATAGCAATCTATTACTGGACTATTTCTCGATATGAAATGCAACAAACTTACATAAACGCGAGTTCCAATATTACGCAATTAACCAGCAACTTTGATCCTCGCCATTAACATAATTCGCTCTCATTATTACCATATAAAGTTTTCTCATTACACAACAGGTGTTATAAGTATACATCACGCTATTACGTCAGCAGGATGACAAACGTTATATAGCTCATTATGACGTTAGAAAAACTCTAACAGACAATGTAAAAAATCGCTATCAAAAGAATCAAGAAACTGACACCTAAAAGCTTTATCGCGTAACGTCTGACGGAATTCAATGGTCTTAAATTCCAAAGTACGAGCTCATCCATAATGTATAGAGCGGTCGTTCGAAACGGTCGGGACGCGTTAGCCTCGGGCTGGGCTAACCTGGTGCTACACCTGTCACAGCAATCCTGTCGTACCTGAATCATGCAACCTTCGAAAAGTCGACCACTAAGAGATTGTACCCAACAAATGAAATTACCTCGCGGTCGCGCAGCCACTTTCTTCAACAGCGCCGACCCTCCCATCGATTATCATCTCCGAACTTTCACGAGCCTGTAATAACATTGACGCTTACGCTCGATGGCAGACCCCGGAAGAATTTACTTAGCGAAATTTATAAATTCTTGATGAACGGGGAGCCATGTTTTTTCGTCGCTATGGAGGCTACCACGATTCCTTGTTCTGATCAATATCGTAGGGGGTTGCCTTTATTAAGAGTAATTTATGATAATTGCCGTGGATTTGGGGTTATTAAAAGTTTCATGGGTTTTTTGTCGATGTTTCGAAAGTATAAAATAATGCTACATATTTTTAGAAATATTTATTATTTTACGATTATCGCAACAAATGATTTCTTATATGTATTGTTTATTTATATACGCGTATATTTTATTAGGTCGTCCGAAAAGTTTCTTTCGTTTTATAAGGAAATAATGCACAACATTTTTCAGTTTATATTATTTTATCGAATTACGTATGATCCATTTTGTTCTATCAAGATAAAGATTACAACGTTTGTATGCGTCGTTGTAAAAGACGTGTCTGTAAAAGAAAGACACTTTTTGGACGACATAATAAATCTATTTGCTCCTTCCTTTAACCAATCTAAATTAAATTTATTATTTAAATAATTCTGTTATGCTTAAAACGTTTCAAAGGGAATAATTTCCTAAATCATTATCTTCGAATGGTACGAAATGTTTCTCCTCTATTTGGCAAGTCAAACATAATTAAACTAATTTAAAGCTAACCCAAGAGCTACACTTTGATATCACCCGATAAGCGTCTGTTTATTCGTATACTCAACCTGCCCCAAAGGAATAGCAATTTCTCTTCCCGGCTAATTTCAAGCTTGGTCGAAGGTCGTGGAACCTTTAATAAGCGTAATACCTCACGACTTGAATCGTGTCTGCGCCATTCGTTTACAACGAAGAAAATAGAAGTAGCTTGTCTTCTATATCTGAGGCCACATTGTTTAGCAGGAAACAAGGCCCGTAATTTGCACGGAAATCTTAAGTGATAGTAGGGTGAAAACTTTCCAACAAGTCAATGGAAATCTTCCTTAGAGGAGGAGAGAAAAGAGAAAAATTGCAGGAAGGAATTTCGATCAATTGTTTGTGCTAAAAGAGAGGAGATTCTGCTCATCCAAGAGTAAGAGACGTTCCATTATCATACCTTGACAAAGCAACATCCAAAGTCACGGTCGATTGTTCCACTACACGAAGGAAGTATTTCTCGTCAGAAATTATCGAGTCTTTGCTGCGAGAGCACGGTTATTGATGACACGACTACATCCTGTCGAGAAGTTGATCGAGCGTCCATTCAGCAATGAAACTTGATTAATAATGTTCCTTTTGAAGATTTCTTGACACTCTATTACTTCGCTTGTTTTTATAAAATAAATTCTTCCTATATTTTCGATGCTCTTCGTCTGTTTCCTATATCATTATATTTCATAAATATCGTGTATTAAAATATTCAACGTTATTATACGGGAAAAGCGTGATACAACCTTGAATATTAATGTTTACAAACCAAAACTCCAGACCATTGATCAAAAATCATATCAGAAATTCATAGTGAAATATTACATCTTTTAGCCACGAACGAACCTAAAAATAAAATAACATAGGACCTTGAACATCATCGAGTATCTCAAATCCGACCGTTTAAAGAAAATCGAAAAATTAAATTCAAGCAATTTATCAAACATACGTAGATATACCACTATATAACTTGCAGTGAAATATCATATTTTATATCATCCAAATAGTATCGTCCACGAGGTCAAAAGTAAACCCAAAAATTAAATAACGTAGGACCTTAAACACGACCAAGTATCTCAAATATCACGATCTATCTCGGACGTCATAAAATACAGAAAAACCGGTGTACGTCATCCACTGTCAAACTGTCTCCTCCCCGTCAACGTCCAAATACAAACGCGTTTGCACAAAGCCCTCCTTCAATTTCCATGATCTTCCATTCTAATGATCGTCATACCTCCAATGTAAACGTATACACATAGACATTGTACATCGTCTGGGGAGTTCGGTTGCTGTCACCGTGAATCTTAGCGGAACCTGAGTTCGATTTGTTCCAATTATGGGAAGGGATGCCATAAAATCTGCGAACAGGGAGGTTTCCTCGTGTCGTCTACCGCCTCGTATACGTATATAATCGATGTTTACCCCGGGGAATCTCACGGCGTCTAACTGTCGCGTGACTCATTTCAGGCGGCGGTATGGCGCGTCCGAAGATGACACTGAATCTGGATGGTGGGAGTGGGTCGAACAGCGGTGGAAACGCTGGTCAGTCTGCACCGAAAAAACCTGGCGGTCTGAGCCTTGGATTGCCATTGGAGATGAACACCGCCCGCGGATCCGCCGATCTGGTTGACGTGGAGCTTCCTTTGGAGAGACAAGGGTACGTCCTTGATTTTGGTTTTCTTGGCTCGTACGTACGCTGCTATGTCGCCATCGTGTCTGCATATTATTTTCATGAACATTCACAACATAGGTGCTTCTTCAAGAATTTTATCGTGAAATTTATGGAGAGTTTGTATGTTAAAAGTATTTTTACGAGGTAACAAGATGAATATTTCATTGCAGATTTGAGAGAGTATATGTGAAATAGGTCGGTGAAAATTTGATGAAAAGATGCTAAAAATTTAGTTGAAATTTACTGCAAAAATAATTTACTGCAGAAATATAGATGTCTTTTAGTGTCTTGTATATATGTATTTCGTACAAGTTCTTGGATCCTAAACATCATATTTCTGGTTTCTTATAGTTTAATATAAATTTCTTTTCTTCCTGTTCACAGATGGTACCATGGATCCATTACGAGAATTGAGGCAGAAGCTATCCTACGACTTCTTAAAGAAGGAAGTTACTTGGTGAGGAACAGCGAATCCACCAAACAAGATTACTCTTTATCGTTAAAGTAAGTTATATAGGTTACATCAGGTTGATGTATCACAGTCGGTATTTTATTTTTTCAGGAAAAGTTTCGCTTCTTCCAACAAGTAGTTTCCTTGATAAACGAGAAAGTAAATTTCTTGTAATAAAAAGAATAGATATTATTACCATCTTCTTTATCTCAGTATACTTTGTATACTTTACAATAATATTAAAAAATGTTGAACTCTATGTACTATGCAATTAAAATAAAACTATCTTCTTCGTAGTCTTTTCAGTTCATACGCTAGTTTAGTTTACTTTTCGTACATTAAAAAATTCTAACACATCAAAGAACTGAAAGAAATCTCATGAAATATAAATATCATTTTAAAGATCGCTCTTTTAAATATAATAGCTATCCTGCTTTTCAATTCAACGAAAATTGCAATGAATTCAATATTGAATGCACGCATTATTTGCTTATTTATCGTAATAATAAATCTAAACGTTTAAATGCATATTTACAATTACAGGAGTGCCCGTGGTTTCATGCATATGCGTATCCAAAAGAACGAGGAGCTGAACGCGTACATCCTGGGCCAGTTCAGTAAACCATTCGACAGCATACCGGAAATGGTTCGTCATTTTAGCGTGAACCGTCTTCCGATACGCGGTGCCGAGCACATGTGTCTTCTGCATCCAGTCATAGCTCAGCTTTTGTAGCGCATCTATCGTAGCGCCGTTTAAGGCGCTCCCCAACAATTTTTGATATCCCTTTTACCTTCAAAGAATACTCACAAAACCTGAACAGTACTCCGAAAGTTATTTATAAGAAAGGATAGAGGAGCGAATGAAAGATGAACGTTGTATATGGAGAACGATATTCTACGGGAAAATCTAGAGTCACGTATAATGGCACTTGGTACTTCCACTGAAGATTTCCATTCTAATCCCGCGATTCGCTTTTTCGCAATTTGAGGCTGATCAATTTTTTCCGAGCTTCCGAGGTGAATCGAGGGAGGAAATGAAATAATAGCGACCGATTGTTATAGACGAAACCATTCACGGGAATAATACAGTACAAAGTTTATAATCAGTGAAAAGTTTCCGTAGATTTAACGAGCGACCTTGAAGTTAATCCTATTCGTTTACGTAATCCCTTAACGATCGCGTCGACGTTTGTTTCCGCGTCGTTCGGTAGCTTTATTAACCGCGACAAAAGGATTAATCTTGACCTAAGATATTAATTGCGTCGCTTCGACGATATTATTCCGAACCTGGCGACGAGCTTTCGTTGTTTCGTAATGAACATTAAAAAGGAAAAGCGTTTTTATATGGAAACGAACGTTGAAGAATGGGATGGAATAGATGTATGGCGAATATTTTACAATATCTGTGTAATGTCTCGTCTTCCCCAAACAGCATCGCGCAAATCTACCTCTTCGTTAGAGGTGTGTACGTATATGTGTAATTTATTTTCACGAGATGGATCAATTCCTTTCACTCGATTGATCGATGAAGCGGCTTTTACAAACGGTTGCGTAACGCAGAGAAGGATTCGTGGGAGATTATAAGGAGGAAAACTCTGGATTTTCAGAAGGATTTCAATGTGTAAAGAGCGCGTGTGGCATGTACTATGTATAAGATATCGACGAAGTAGAGAATCTTAATGGTCTAAAATGGTGGATCGTCGTACTGTGGCAGAAATGAGACAGAGTCCGGGGAAGCACCGTAAGAGCTTTAGAAAATGGTTGTTCCTTGCGCTTGTGGCTCG